TACGCCCCCAAGATCGCATTAGCCGTGTTTGTCGCTGCATCACACTGGCTGCTCATATTTCACTTACAGTCCACCCGTACCCCAAGATCTTGATTGACGATGCATTGATTGACATGCTTGATTGATCGAAGTATCATTCCATGCGAAACAAAAATGCATTTTCGCTCTTCTTAATACCCTGTGTCTTCATTGCTTCAGCCTGGTGTGGTGATGGAAAATGCCGTCAACTCAGAGCCAATCTATGGCGACCCCATAGGGTTTTCAAGGCGACAGACGCCTGGCTCTGTGTAGCAGTCCTAGACTTCCTTGGTGGTCTCCCATCCAAGTACTAACCAGGGCTAGGGTTGCCAGCCTCCAGGTGGGGCCTGGAGATCTACCACTTTTACAACGGATCTCCAGCTGACAGAGATCAGCTCCCCTGGAGAAAATGGCTGCTTTGAAGGGTGGACTCTATGGCATTGCCCCATGCTGAGGCCCCTCCCCAAACCCCGCCCTCTCCTGGATCCACCCCCAAAGTCTCCAGGTATTTTCCAACCCAGAGATGGCAACCCTAGTTGGGAAATACCTGGAGATTTTGGGGGTGGAGCCTGAGGAGGGTGGGGTTTGGGGAAGGGAAGGTCTCCAGTGGAGGAGGAGGAGGAGGAGGAGATTGGATTTCTACCCCGCCCTTCACTACCCAAGGGAGTCTCAGAGCAGCTTACAAACTCCTTCCCCTTCCCCTCCCCACGACAGACACCCTGTGAGGGAGGTGGGGCTGAGAGAGCTCTGACAGAGACCGCTCTTTTTCAAGAACAGCTCTTGTCAGAACTACGTCTTGCCCAAGGTCATCCAGCAGGTGCGAGTGGAGGAGTGGGGAATCAAACCCGATTCTCCCAGATTAGAGTCCACGCACCTAACCACTACACCGAACGGGCTCTCAACACCAAACTTACAAAACACTACTAGTGGTCACATACAGCTTCAACTCAGGAAGGGTTGCCCTGGAGAAAAATGGCTGCTTTGGAAGGTGGACTCTAAGGCATTATAGAAGAAGAAGAAATTGGATTCATACCCCACCCTTCAGTACCCAAAGGAGTTTCAGAGTGGCTTACAAACTCCTTTCCCTTCCCCTCCCCACAACAGACACCCTGTGAGGTCGGTGGGGCTGAGAGAGCTCTGACAGAAACAGCTCTTTTTCAAGGACAGCTCTTATCAGAGCTACGGCTTGCCCAAGGTCATCCAGCAGCTGCAAGTGGAGGAGTGGGGAATCAAACCCGGTTTTCCCAGATTAGAGTCCACGCACTTAACCACGACACCAAACTGGCAAAATGGCCAAACACTGCACCCTCCAAAGCGGCCATTTTCTCCAGGTGAACTGATCTCTTTGAGATCAGTTGTAATCCCAGGAGATTCCAACCACCCCCTGGTGGTTGGCGACCCAACCTATGTGCCACTAACACGTGCCAAATGCACAAAAAGTTGGGAGATTCCTCAAACTCAGAGTGAGGTGACATTTTGACCGCATCTTTGTGTAACGTCCAGGAACTTTGACCAAGCCAGGTTTCTAAGATGGCTATTGAATGGCATAAGCATGCTGTTGACATTTTATATACCTGATCCAGGAAGCACACTAGAGGAACACGGGTATTTCCTCAACAAGTTACAGCACATAATAACTTGCTCTACGTGGCAGACCGAAAAATAACGTTCTGCTCTGAACTTTTGGGCGATCTGTGCCTAGCTCAGCAGCGGAGTTGTGCTATGCTTGGTTTCAGAAGGTTTCCCTTGCTCGAAAGCCAGTCGAATCCAACTCTAGGGTTTGCGGTGCTCATCTCAGTTTCCAAGCCGAAGAGCCAGCGCTGTCCGAAGACGTTTCCGTGGTCATGTGGCTGGCATGACTAGACACCGAGGCGCACGGAACGCTGTGACCTTCCCACCGAAGCGGTACCTATTTATCGACTTGCAGGTTCTTGCTTTCGAACTGCTAGGTTGGCAGGAGCTGGGAGCACAGATGGGCGCTCACTCCGTCATGCGGCACACTCGGGTCTCGAACTGCTGAACTACCGATCTTCCGGCCTGCAGTTCAGCGTCTTAACCACTTGAGCCACCGCAGCACCTGCCTTGTTTTACTCTGGTGTTTTCCCCAAGTGCAGTGGTGGCGGCTCAGGATAAGCTGCTGTGTCTCCCTCTTGGCATTAGGTCAGGTCTGCTTCCGCAGAGAGATGAGAAAGCCCTTACTCTGTGCCGTTTGCCCTGGCGTTACATTTTTAGACAGCTCTCGCAAGATGCCACTCCCCAATGAGCTTTGTGTTCCTTTTTATTAAACAGCAGCTACACACTCAACGTGAACGTAATCTACACACTCAAAACGTTTTTTAGCTTATCTCTCCCTGGAGGACAAATTAGGATGAGTAGACATCGAAGAAATTTATGGTAAAGTAAAAAACAATTAGAGGCTACTGGACTGACGAAGATACCTTGGTTCCAATATCTAGAGGTGCAACACTTAATCAGTGACCCTGTAATACAATCTAGTCTTCAAAGGCCTTGTGCAGATTTTGAACGCCTAATAATGCAGAAGACTTTCATTGCTAAGGGCAGGGGTCATTTCCTGCAGGAGTGCACAGGAGCGGAGCTCCGGCAGTAAAGAGCCCAGGGGACGGGCACATGCAACAAGCCCCACCCCCTGCTCCCAGCAGCCCTCAGTCAGAGCAAGAGGCAGCCAGGTAAGTTG